CACACACGCACACAGACACACACGCACACAGACACACACACACCTGGGTCAGTCTGAGTCCACTGCAGCGGACCGTCAGTCCTCCGTCTGCTGTCTCCAGTCGGTGGCAGGCGCTGATAGTGGAGACTCGGTTGCCACGACGCCACAATGCCACAGTGAGCGGTGATGTGGCCGACACCAGGCTGAGTGACGTCGACACCAGAAGAAGAAGAAAAAGGAGGCGGGGCATCCTCTGCAGTGAAACATCCACCACAGTGGAAGGCATCGGCAGCAGGTGCTTGGCGTGGGACATGATGATCACAGAGTCGACTTGTTACTTTAACTTCCTGTCACATGTTCAGCTGCTGGCGGCCATTTTGACTTGGCAGCAGGGAGCCGGGGGTGGAGCCTGTCTGCAGAAAAACAGTTCAAAGTTCAGCGGTGCCCCCTGCAGACTCCAGTCCTCACACTGATGTTTGTTGGAATAAAGACTCAGACGTCAGAAACACACCATCACGGTCAGCTGATCAATAATCATTATTAACTTGTTATTAACACTCGTTACTGATATCAGGCGCCGGGAGAGGAAGTTTCTGGAATAAAACAATGTTGTAAGAAAACAGCAGGAAAACAAAAGATTAAGGCGGGGATTACACAGAGTGAGGAGGAGGAGAACAAAGGGATGAGAAGAAGATAAAGGAGACGGATTCATGAAGCCAAGGAGGAAATGAGCAGATTATCAGATTAAATCCTCCCACAGGGATTAAGAAAGAAGAGAGAAGAAAAAAGAAGTTAACCTTCGAACCCTTTAAAGCTGCTGGTCTGTTCCTCTGGGCTCCGCTACACCGACGAGGCTTTTACTTTGAAACTTTTCATCACTGTGGTAAACGTAGCCTTTGTTCACAGCTACAAATTCGAGTTCTTACTGTTAGCTGGATCAATAAAGCCTCAGATCAATAATAATCAGTGACATTGTTCATGTTTTATTGATCCGGGTAAAAAATCTGACTGAGATTCAAACTTCCTGTTGTCTCAGCACTCATGTAAAAGGAGGAATTCTGTCATCCTGTCATGTGACTCCTCTTCCTCAGTGTTTTCTATTCAAAAGGACTCTTCCTGTCCTTGCCTTTCACAATAAAAGCCTGTTGTGCTCTTTCAGTAGTGAACTGTTGTTGATAAGAAACTGACAGGATTACAGTGAAGTGACCTCCAGCTGACCGCAGGACTACATCCATCCACGCTCACTGTGAACACAGCCCAACACTTGAGCTCCTCCACCCACTCAGAAGCCTCACACTCAGTGTACTGTAACAGCTGCAGTGAGTTCATCATCATCATCATCATCACCTGTGCTGAGGTCGTGAGCAACACTTCACAGCAGTCACATGACAGACCACAAATGTGTTTTTGTATTCATCAATATTTATCATCATTATTTGAACATAAAGCGTCACGCTCCTGTAACGCTGATATAATGTGTGGCCATGGAAACCATTCAAGCCCCTCCCTGACAGGGTCCTGACTCAGGTGTGACCCTGACCCAGCCGCACTGCATCCTGATCACATCCCGGCCCAGACTTCAGTTTGATGTTGGCATGGGATCACAGACTAAAGCTGACTGTAGGTCAGTGATGGAGGCCGGCGGCGTGCTCGCCTTCCCTGTGTCAGACGTTTACTCCTGTTTTATTTGAGGTCAAACGTTTTAGTTCAGACAACAGGCCGAAGCACAGACACGTCCAGAGGACTGGTCCTCTGTGACATCACCAAACAAACATCAGAGATCAGAGCGCTCTGGTCTGACCGCACGGACAGGAAACGGGGCTGTCGCACGCTGACAGGACGCACGTGCCTTTGTTTCATGTTTGATCTGCTCAGAACAAAGTCTTCACCCACAAATGTAAAATTAGCAACAATATTATTATATTATTATTATTGTTGGTGTTATTATTATACAGTATTATTTTAATATTATTCTAAACCCTGTTTCAGCTCCATCACCACCTCTGTGGACCCACTCTCAGTGCTGTCATGATATTTACCTCCATGCTAACCTTGTATCTCCACTAAGCTGTGCAGCTGTCAGTGCTGCTCACATCCCAAATGTTTCAGAGCTTTTTGGTTTGAAGCAAGACTGTTACCATGGAGACGCATCCTAAAAAGCCAGAAACCGATCTGTGACTGCACAAACAAACAAACAAACAAACAAACAAACAAACAAACAAACAAACAAACAAACAAACAACAGCAGGGCTGTACTCACATGCTGCTGCTCCAGACACAGACGAACAGCTCTGACAGGGCAGCGACTGAAGACGAAGCTCCGCCCACAAACGAAATAATAAATACAGTCAAATAAATAAACGACAGGAAAACTGCCGCCCACCAGAAACAACGTCACGTGACCCCACGGAGGGAAAAACTGTAAGAAAAAAAAATCTGTTAGAAAAAAAACATAATTAAAGAAATGAATAAATGACGTCAGTGTGGTTTTATAAAAACACCCGTGAGAAACTCAATAAACAAATGCAAATAAATCAATAACACAATCGATTGCCTAACACTATCACTAGTTTCACTTTGCTCTTATACTAACAGCGTCATCACGTTTCTGTCCCTTATTTTACCGTTAAAATCATTTTACCTTCAGTTTTCTTTATTAGATCTCAACTATAAAATCATCAGAGTGAAAACCTTCAGCGACATAAACACGACCACGAGGGGGCGCTCTGCACTGGCCTTCCTGCCGAGACCCAGACTCTCTGGCTGGAATCAAACCAGCAACTTTTCACTGAGCAGAGCGAGTGTGTTCATCGCGACTTCACCGAGCGACTGACGGCACTAAAATCCTCCTTCACGAGCACGCGGACTAATTAAATACCGTGTGTTATTCAATAATACTGAGCCATGGCTCCGAGTACTGCAGGCACTCCGTGTTGGTAGCACATGCAGTACTTATGTCAGTACTCACACAGTGCCCGGGGGCTGGTTCGCTTCCTGTTTCTATCAGGCAGGTGACAGGTGTCCGGTGGGCGGGGCTTCATGCACTTCGTGCCGCCTGTGCTGTGCTGATAGAGCTCGTGCTCACACTCTCTTTCTGCAGCGCGTGCAGCCTGCGCAGAAATGACGTATGTGCTCCGAGAAGCTGAAGCTGTTTCCAGAGTCCGGCTCTGAAACACCTGCTGTTCTGTTTCTGC